ACACAAAAAATCGATATTTAGGATTTTTTTTAATATTTACTCTTAAATTTTGAAATTAGCTAATGGATCCTACTAAAATTTGAATTATAATCTACAATTTGATACCAAACTTATTGACATACATTCATAAAATAGTAGTTCAATAAAATTTTGAATGCGAGTTAACAAACATGATAATGTTGCTTTTGATCCATGACCCGTATCAATAGGGTTAACTTAACTATAAAATTTATGTATTTGGAAACTGCTTATGTATAGGTAGTGTATACATTTGTCTTAAACATGAGGCCTGGTTGATAATGAAATATTTAATGTCTTTTTTGACATTGTAACTAGCACTAAACTGAAACTGTCATTAAATATTTAATTATCAACTATGCCTTGTGTTTAACATAACATTCTGAGACAACATGGGACCTATTGGTCCATCTTGGCTGTTCCATCCTAGCTGATAATGAAATATTTGATATTTTTTAATGTTGTAATTAACACTAAACAAAATGAGTTGGTTCCAATGTGTGCATTAAGCATAAAGAAAAACAAATTTTAATTGTGAAGAGAGCATATTATTTTACTGAATTAAAAGCAAAAATAATGTATTTATATAATATCTGTACATTTTAGGCACATTTTTATCAAAAGAGTATATAAGACATTAATAGCAATAATTAATAGTTCAGAGTAGTATCATTTATAAACAGCTATTAAAACATTAAAAAAGCCTTTAAAATTAGTTAGACTTACCTCTGAAATATTGTAAGCCTTTTTTGTTAAGTCATTTTTGCTCTGTCAACTTTTGACTTTTGAATGTTCTTGAGCAAACACCAGAGGATATTACATAAGCCCTGCTTCATACCACAAGTCAAATTTTCTTGTTGGCAGTCATGATATAAAATTTGCATTTTTGTTCACTGTGCTCATGAATTTCAAAGTCAGTGTTAACCCTAATGTTAACATCTGTTCATGTAGAAATTTCTAAACAAGTTTCAAATTCTTTGGAGGTTTTGTTCACACAATCTTCTTCCAGTCTGCAGAGAGATTCTTTGGCTGCATTGTTAGCTGTCATTGATCATGCATATTAGAATTTTTAATGTCAACTTATATGTTGGAGACCCTTTGATATTTCCTAATAATGTGGATGCTCAACTTGCGAGACATCATTTTTTTTTCTCATGTTGGTAAACAAGCCTATCCTTTGCCCAACCCTTTTTGCCTTAACTGACTGTTCAAAATTCTGAGGAAGCTTACAAATCATATTTTACTTTTTTTTTTTCAAGTGTGTACTATTTCAAATCTTGAACTGATTTCTGTTATGCACGAGAGTGCTTGTATTATATTAGATGAATGACTTCTTGAATCTTTGTATCTTTTGCCTTCTCCTAATATTTGGATTATTGCTGATGCTTTTAGAAATAATCATAATGTTAATTTTTTTCATGTTCTTTACATTCAACATGCAGATGGCCATTTTGTGGTGTCTTTTAAAACAAGTTTCACTTCACAAGTTCTGTAAATGTAGTCTTCTTCAGCACAGTTATTGGCTGTTAGCTTTTCTCGTTCATCTGATCCTTTTAATCAGGATCAGTCTGCTATTTTGTAGTCTAAACTGTCTGCAGCTCTCACTGAGTTAGCACCTGATATCTAGTTTCATGTTCAGGACAGGCACACCAGCAGGTGTTGATTCAGATTTTAGCATCTTATGTCTTTTATGGTCATCCTCCTCTTTTCAGACATCTAACAGCAACCTGTCTCCCTGCCTTATCTTCTGCTTCTTCTTCTGAGTCTTCTATTTCTGCTACTTCTGATTGTTCCATTAATCCTTTCAGGATGCCAAACATAGAAGCAAGCTGGATAGTTCTTCTCAAACACTCACTGACTCCTCAGTTCCCAAGATTCTCTCATCCCAGGCTGTTAAAAATCATTTAAGATCTTTTATTGATTTGTGGGACCCTTGGGTTTTCACAGATTCTTCAGTTCATTCTTTCCTTTTCATTGTTTACTCTTTCTTTTCCTTCTATATCTTTTTTGCTTCTTCCTGACTCTGTTTGCTTACAAATTTTGGGTTGTGAAATTTGGATTTCTTTCATAAAGGAAGTGACAAAGCTGTTCTCTTATTTCTGGCAGTTATTTTGATTTGAACTTAATTATTTCAGAAGAAATAAATAATAATCCGGGGTGCTCGAGGATTAGCAATCCTCCTTCACCCTGCTCGAGGCTAGAGGCTAGAAGTTCAATGAGAGGTCATCGT